TTTTTTTTTTTTTTTTTAGTACCTTTATTCGCAATAAATAGTCGACGTTATATTGTCTAATGCTGATAAGTTCCTGGGGCCATAACATCGGAAAGATTCAAGGACAAGCACATCTTTCCTTTCAGAACTAAGTGCCCTTGTAGAGAAACTTACATTGTCTGCAACAAACAAGGACTACAATAGATGTAAGACCGGTCGGTCTTGCTGGTCAGCTTACGTACAGTGTGATTTTTGTGAAAAGCCAATGCTTACACGATGTTCCTATCGGACGCCAGGACCCCTTCGCAATATATACGAAAATCGTTTTACCACATATGCGCAAGCTACTGTATGCGATACGATCCTAGAACCAATAGAGAATTTCGAAGGGAGGGTGCCAAACGGCCCGCATTAGCTAGCTCTTTGTTCGTTTTGGCATTGGCTCAGCACTGTAGAATACAATGCGCCCATTGGGGACGTATATAGACATTAATGTTGAAATGGTTCGCGTCTGGCGGATGGCAATGCAGAGACGGATAGACGCCAACGTTGCTGCGCGTTGGGTGGATGCTGTACCCTCTTATTTATAGCACTCAATTGGAATACTCGTTTTTTTCGGCCACTGTTGATTATACCGGCTTATTAAGAAGAAAAGCGGAAAGACAATGTTTGCTCCTAACGTCCAGTAATGACTCGAAAAAATTCTACCACCACTTAGTTACAGGAGCCTGTCTTTTCTTTGCTGGCATGGAGTTATGGACAATTGTCGTCACATTCGTAGCTTCCAGCGCCATGAACAATTAGTAACACGAGCAACCAGCGTAACGATTATCACCTCGGTGATTATCAGTAGATATAGTCCCATTATAACAGCGGCTTTTCGTAGTAGTAGTGGTGGTAATGATGATGGTGGTGGTGGTGGTCGAAGTAGCTCGGCGAGAAATAGCTATAATGAGAAACAGTTGTAGTTTTTCCTTATATCTACTTGTTCGTGGCCACTTCTAGTAAAGTTCGACTATTATATCGTTTTCGTGCGATCTTTACGGCGCACCATCCTGCCGGCCGCCAAAGTTGATGGCAGCAGCGTCAGCTGGAGATACTGGTGCGTCAGAGAAGGCACAATGTTAGCGCCATAACGCCATACTATATCGTATACGTCGAAATGCGCCTTTGACCGCATCGAAAGCCAAATAAGTAGCAGCAGCAGCAGCAGCAGCAGCAGCAGCGTACATCGCTGAACAGTATACGGCGCTCACTTGCCCAAATACGACGATTTGTGGCGTAAATAAGATCCGGGCCAAGGCCTCATCTTATTATTATTATTACCATCATTATTATTTTCACCCTGCCGCCTATCGGCTAATTTAATGGCTCATTTGCCATTATCATGCAGATTTATAGCTAACAGAAGAGCCGTCAATAGATAAATGCGTTAGTAAAACGAATATATTATGTGTTAATAAACAATAGATAGCCCGCTTGTTTATTAAAGCATGGCTAACATTTGGCGTCCTTTCATCAATCAACGTATTCGACTCTGTTCAGCTTTATCCTGAAAAGCGTCCGGATCACCAGGCCAGTACGAACAGAGGTAAATCATGCGAGTAAAGATCCACCGAAGTATGAAATAGGCGCAAATTCGTCAACAGCGCTCAAGCAGCCATTAGAAATCAGTAACAAGTGCCAGTTCAGATTAGATTACTATTTTCTAACAATACGAGTGTGTCCTAAGAAGATCCTGTCGGTCGGTCGGTCGATCGATTTCGATGGCTATGATGCACACATACGTTGACATCGTCCAGTTTACTCGAATTATGGCCTCATTTTTTTTTTAACTATGCGTATTAAATCATTTGACGCTCTCTTACTTCAGGCCTAGCGCCCGCGGCACATGCTCTCTGCTGGCGTCACTCCACAGGATGCCTCCTACCCCTCCTTTCACAGTTATATGTCTATTCTGTTTCACATAAACACACGGTGATTTTCTTTTTTTCTTCTTTTTTTTTTTTTTTTTTTTTAAAGAAATACAGTCATACAAGGTGTAAGAAATGTACAATTTTTTGCTATCTAGCATTAAACTCTCTCATTATGCGCCTGAATATTAATAGGCGGCCAACTTATTCCAGTCTCAGTAACTCTTATGACGCCACAACGATTTCTATATGCATTATAACTATATGGAATCATTGGACACTCGTTCCCTTTCCTCTGTTGTGTATGGATCTAGAAGTATAAATGTATGGATCTAATGCTAGTGCTACTGGTGCTGACGCTGCGATGCGTACACGCGCCTGTGGCAGGCCCAGCCAAAATCGATGATGATCGGATTGAATCGCAGCGATAGCCGTCACAGGCGTCTGCTTAAGCGGACTCCTACCTGAAGGCCTGAACATATTTAAATGTGGCAATCAATGAGCGACGCCAACGCCACCAACGCGAACACCCTTGCTTTCATTAAACAGACACTCATCTATTTGAGCGTATGTCGATACGCGAACATTTACGCCTACAGACGGACGAACAGATCTGCGCAAGCCTGCACACACGATGCCAGCGTCTGAAGTGCCTAGTCAGTCGAGGCAATACCAACAACAACAACAGCAACACCTAAAATCGGTAACATAACAGAAGACGGACAATCGAGCGCGCCCATAACAACGCCACCCCCACCCCAACGAAATTGACGATAATGGCAATGCCGGTACTGATAATGCTGATGATGGTGACAAAATCCGCATTCCTCCACCGTCTCGATCGCCACGATCTATGCCTATAGTATCATCACCACAATACAACTGCAACTGCTTTATTCCACTATTATACGACACCTATACGTACATTGATTGAGCTCTCGTAACGAGGCTTCTGCTTTGGCGACTGAAGCAATCCGATGCGTAGCCGACAGCCATCGCCACACCCCCTACACCTCCTACATCTTTTTCCCCACGTATCCTCTTCTCTACCGTCTCCTTTTGTGTATGCCACAGGACGACGACGACGACGGCGACGACGACGAGGAAGGGGAGGAGGAGGAGGGAAATGTGGGTGATGAGAAGGCCGAAACGCCGCCGGCGATGGTGGCATTGGCGACTAACTGAGACCAGTAACCGCAGCGATATTGACAACAAAAATGTAACAACACAGTTCCGTTTTTCATTGTTATGTTGTTGGCATCCGCAGCAAGCGTAAAATCGAAATGAGACCCAACATTGTGATGACAAGGTGGCGGTAGAGGGAGTTGTGGAGGACAGGATAATTGTGATCAGATACGCACGAGGTTTGCTGCGAGGTATATATTAGACAAATGTATACCGGGACAATATGTCAGTCGTGAAATGACCACCTCTGCGGTGAGCATCAATAGTTCGGAAGGTATAGGGCAACTAAGTTCGTTCGTGAAAAATCGTCAGACAGTTAAAAAGTACCTTAAACTTCCTGTCTTAGAATGGCGTATCAGTTCATCGATCGGGATTAGATTAACTATATATTGTTAACTAGAGATACGTACAGTTATCATATATGTCTGACGAAACAGACGACGATCGATACCGGCAGACTAACGGTTTCGATATTGGCATTATTCTATTTTTAGCAATCAGAATAGACAGGCAAATGTGTGATACAGATAGGTATCGTAAAATCGACGGGTTATTAGTATCATAATCTAGGATTACGGTCTTCATAGTTCATTGCTTTCATCATGCTTATTTCTTTCTATTTCCGCTACTCCACCTGGCCATTTATCTGTCAGTATAGCCGCCGTGCTTCACGTCAATAGCTTTCGTTGCGGTGAAGACTATATTTTGAAAAGTACCGAAACAGGGAGTGGGCCCTCTTGCTTTGCGCAAGCATAGGATCATTCAGCCGAGTGATACTACCGAAATACACAAGTAACGAACAACGCTGGCAGGCCACAGAACGCGCTGGCGCGTCGTCTACCACAACATTACAAAAAGCCTGCAACGCTTTTCTAGTAGAAGAGGCTTCCTTTATTAGCTATCCCTGTGTATTCGCTAGCAATACATCCTCGAATGTCTCTTTTTTAACCTTAACGCTTTCTTCCAGAGCTTCACCGTGACCGCTTCACGATCGGCATCACCAACACTCTTACGTGCATAGCGGTCGTTTGCCATCGTCGAACGACCTTTGACCTGTGCGCTGCGTTTTTAAAAGGAGTACCCTCCCATATTTGCCAGTGAGAGCTAGCAGCAGAAGCAACGATCATTATACTATGCTACGGTGAACGTTAGCAACGCAATGGAACAATAAGACCACCTTCACTCGCCCGGCAACTCAAAAATTGCCGGACTAACCAGCGGCAATAACTAGCTGCGTACGGGGTGCCGAGCAAAAACTGCACCAAAGATGTAGAAAGTAGGTCCTGCAAGAAAAGGCTTACTAACTGCTGCGCCAGCGTGTATAAGGGGGTTCGGATGCATAAATCCAGCTTCCACTATTCAACGACACTGGCCAAAACGCCAAGAAGCAGCAGCTAAAGACGCCAATGGAAAGAGTCGTAGCTAAGTCAACAAGTGCAACAGCCCAAACGAGGGGACGGCCGTTTATCCAAGTAGAAGTTTTGCTGCAATAATGGGACCCTGTCGCAGACGTCGCCGGCACCGCCGAAGTTTTGTGTCCGTGACCGGCCGCCAACTCGCATGACTCGTTCGCGTCATGGGGTAGTCGCGCACAATCAATCAATCACTCGACTAACCCTCCGGAACTGACCGGAGCTGCACAGTATCTTGTTGTCAAGGTTTTCGTCAGGGGACACAACGCCGCTGATGTGCTATATATGTATGCTATGCGCCCCATGATTCTTGTTTTGACGCTGGCGAACGTTCAGCTAGACAGAAAAAGAAGACGCTTATCAAAATCATACTTGTCTCGACGAGCGCGCACGAGAATATTTAAAACTAACAATGTTAAGTTAGCACTGACTAACTGCGCCGGTTGTGAGCAATGTACGCTAACTGGTATGCCGTTAACATCGAAGACATGAAATCGTATCGATTACTCACCCATTCGAGAACGTCTCAAGTTGATCGCGGCGGGTGCCGGCAGCGAAGATGATGTCCCGAGGTCAAATGGAGACATCGAAAGCCCAATCCGGTTCCGAGGGCCGCTTTCCGCCTGATGGCTAGTCTGTCGTCAGCGAAATAGTGTACAAATCCGCACGCACTCCCTTGAACCGTATTCCTACAACACAATCGAACGACATATGATGTGATGATTGATGATGACCGAACGCTTTAAACACGAGTACAGGCCAAGTTTCCCGATACTGCTTTGTATCTGTTTGACACATTAAACCTGTAATCTTTGCGATAGACATCGGGCAAATGCTAGAGCAAGCGACTGACAAATATTCACTTCGGATACCTAAAAGGGCAGAGATTTCCTTTAGAGTGTGGACTTAGGTGCCTTCCTGTTTACTGTTCCAGCAGTCTGAATGGAGGCCGGCTTACGGCCTGCAGCTAAATTGAATGATAACTAACTATGGTAGGTGCACACTCTATAAAGCGTTCTATTACATGTGGGCGTGCGAGGAAAGCGGGAACATTTTTTGGAAAGTGTCTTTTCCTGGTATTGTAGTTTCAGTAGCTGCAAGTGTTTATTATAAGCTTTCTGGAATTCAGGTTAAAGGACAGTCGGCAGCTGGATTATACGACTGATAATGTCAGTGGCAGGCCACTCTAACTGTTGTCCGTCTGAGCCTAAGTACGCCAAGTAGTTGAAAAAACACAGTTTGATACCGCAAGTGACTACTTCTATGCCACGTTAATCCTGCGAGTGAAATCTTTTCAGTCGTATATCTGACTGTTTAATTGAAATGATTGTCGCAACGCAAACAAACAGTGATGATTTTCAATGTGAAACATATTCTACACGCGCACGCCTTCAATGACACATTACATTGAATGAAGTATAATTGGGCTCCTCATGTGTGTAGATAAATCCATTACACGGTTCTACCAGCGAGTCGTAAAATGTAACAGACATCAGGCGCCACATACGTGCGGCCTCTGCTCTGCTGGTCACGTCACTGTGTTCAGGCGAGCTATGTGAGTCGGTGCAGATCGTAGCGCACTGCTAGAAGGCGCCACTGAAGCTTAAAGGGCGCTAGGGCCGGGACGGCCTTTGAAATTCCATGCCACATTACCTGATAGGGCAAATCATACGTCAGCGTAACTAGGCATATTACCTATTTGTCTGACCAAGTAACGGAAGGGGCGAGGAACCTTTGGGAATAGACGTAACACGTTCTGTCGTGATCACCCATCCTAGATCGGCGTAGAAACCAACATCAGGTCACAGGATAGGCAACTTGCATTGGATTGCAGAGCTGGATTGGTCTCACAATGTACAAGCGAGCTGCACCGCTCTGCGAGCGCATCACTACCAGCCATTGGGTAACTAGACTCGATAGGCAGAACAGACAAAGAACAAAGATGTAGCAGACCGTCTACCGTGTCTAGTTACGGTTTCGCGTGTTCCTATTTGACTACTGGGCACCCAAAGATATGCAATAGTTCTCTTCATCACGATTCATCTCTGCGCTCGATACCGAACGGACGCAGGTGGATGGTAACGGGTTATCAGATTTGACATCCGCCAGGGATCACATACTGGTCACACGTCTTTAACTAGGTAGTTGATAATGATTTAGTGGACACGTTGTTTTAACAACAAGGACAAAGGGCAACTGACGGGTAAACTGTTGCCTTAACTCATTATTCAAATCTGGCTCGCTTTTCGAGCGAGCACTTAGAGGCTGGGATGCCTACCTACATTTCACAGAAACGAGAACTAAAATTACTCTCTTTCCTAATCAACCGTATGTTATCTATACGCGTCGTATGCTATTGTGTGTGAACTTCTGCCTGCCACCAATTGAGGGCAGCAATGTTACGGACTCGAAAACTTTCAAATCGCCGAGCTCATACCATGTCCCTTCAGTGTCCAGATGGACATTACGGAAGCCCAACTGACGTTTCCGATCTCAGACACTGTGTCGCTTTTTAGGAGTACGTCACGAGTTGGGGCGAAAATAATTATCTAACTGTTCTCGCAAAATCAAGAGTGTACAATAAACCGTCTTGATGGAGGTCTTTTAGGTTCGCGCTATTCGTATCGAGGGTGATTAAGAAAGAACAACCATAGTAGTCAATTAAGTTAAAATACCCGGTAGAAGCTTTCGTCTTTTCTCAAGCACAGCGGGCGTCCGTTTTCCTAGTCATTGAAAGATAGCTTTGCCTTTAAAAAACAATTTCTTCTTATCAACTACGACCACGGTCAATTTAAGTAGCTTTCTTTCTTGTAATTGAACAGCCGATTGTGCTCTAAAGTTCGATCGTATGTGTTTAAGTTATAATCGTGTGATGTTACTTATATTGCTATATAAAATTGAATTAATCGTTAACGAACTTTGGCGAGCTCAAAAAATCTTTCGAGTGATGTTTTACAAAAAAAAAAAAAAGAAACAGATCTTTGCGCTAGTGACATTGGAGCTTCTACTATCGTTTACGTTCGCGCATACGGCAAACAGTCTTACGTAAAATTGCCGATTATGTATTCCAATAGGAAGCAATTACAAAGTATATCGACTTTGATGTTTTCACGACGGAACTGCTTTATCTACCCGTTATAGTTTCAACAGACCTGTCGATAGGCCCTATGTAAATTGACATTAGTGACACATGTTCGAATGATCAGGACGATCTATAATAGGTCGTGGTCGAGTTAATCATCTGACGTATCCCCTCCGATTCTCGATTCACGAGGTACGAGCCAAAAGAAATCGCGTCCTTCCCAAAGATCGGTCATAAATTGAAGCAATTTTTACAATCAATTAGACATAGGCAAGTTACATTGAGTTTGACCAATGTCTTTTTCCAAAGGATCTTCCATTATTTCCACACTTTAATGAGTACAGTGTGGGAAAACCCCAGCCCTTATCGTGGAATTTCGAAAAACACTATGAACGACGCTGGTAATAATGGAAAATCCAGCTCACCATCCAATTTCCGGCCATAATTTTCGTTGCCCTCAAACCGCTGCTGTTGGCGATCGTGACGATTATAACAATATTACGTTAGAGTTAATGCGAATAAATGGAGTAGTAATTATTGTATTAAATGTTTCTTGTCGCTGACGATCTTCAGGTGCTGATGATCAAACAGAGCACCTCTGCACAGGGACTAGGATGGCGTTGGCCTAATGAAATCCACACGATTACGTTCCGCAGTATGAACGAAATAGGTTCTCTAATCAAAAGCAGTTTGCCTTTTTTCTGCTATGAAGTTCATCGAAATGACGCGCCTACAGACGAACGCATCGGTTCACTCGATTCGCCCGACAACTCGAACAGCTGCCGTCTAAACCACATACCAGATTTTCTGATTCCAGACAGACGGTAAAACGCGTCGTCGTTAAGTTTCAGAACTGTTAAATACCAGCTAGCGGTCGACAAATGCTGAGTTCGTCGACCCTCGTGCTCGCTCTTCTGCCGAGGCTATTCGATCTCATTACTGAGTTTAGATAAACTGTGGAGCATTAATACCCTGTATACTACTGGCGGCATTCCCGTTTGCGCTGCTATTGACGGCCAACTGATTTGCCCAAGCGCCGATCGAGCTGTCCGGCAGAGTTCAACTCTGGACGCAGAGTACTGAGCATCAGGCAACACCTAGAGGTGTGGGGGCTAATGGGGTTGCAATGCAAATGAAAAGGTTTTTCCCACAGCATATAGGTCATCGCACAGCGCACTAATGAAGCTCTAAAAAAAATCATCCAGTAAGACCAACACAGATCACTTAATATGGCCGGTGGGACACATTCTATTACCGAAAAAGGTTTTTAAACAGCACTAACGATAATCTACTCACAGCCAAGTCTCTTTCATATATTACTTGAACAAATGAAACAAACGTCAAAGGACAAGTATGTAGCTAGTAGGCACGTAGGTCAAAAGTACTATCCATCAGTGTTACCATATGTTAACCGGTTAATCCCTTCGAATTAATGATCTATTTTTGGAGTACGCCCTAATGAATTAGAACTTGAGCACAGACTTGTCTTCCATCGAACATCAGCAGTGCTCGCATGAGGTGAGCTGATTTGTATCTTCCCAAGTCATTTGATGTAACGGTGGGCTAGCAATATTCAGCATAGGTTAAGCGCATGCGGCTAGAAAAACTTGTGTTTACTATAAGCAGATCGAAATCCCAATTTGCCAATTCTCCAGGCCGAGCTCGTGCAAAGTTGCATTGACAGCTTGGTCTCATCTGTGCGAAAAAAAAACTTTCTTACTCGTTTCTGTGCACGAACAGGTTAATTTAGTCCTTCGATGAGGTAATTGCTATGATGTTGGGGACGACACAATCGTCGGAAAGTAGCCGAGGCCTTACGATCGAGACGTAAATCCAGCTGATGTATCTATTGGCGGTCATACCATTGTTGCACAACTACACAAATCGGAGGGCAAACTTTCTGACAATTCCTCACTTTACACCCACTTTGCACGCTTTTATACTCAGGTCCCAACGAGGGGAAGAGGGCCAACGAAAACAGGAAGCTTCTTTGGTCTACTGACAGGGAGTTCCCAACTCAGAGTTTCCTTGCCTAGCAGTTGGTGTTGATGACGGCGTTTCGCCGTCCACCTAGCTGCCTCCTAGACGGGAAGATCGATCGTTCTAGGGCAAAAAGGGAGGCAACAACGACGAAGACGAATTTCAGGATCAGTGGTAATAGGTAGCAGGTAGCTAGTTGGGCCAGGTTGCAGCTCTCCTGTGAACACTCACTTCACTCAACCTTACGATCTCATAGGATCGTCTGCGTATTTCTTTGCTCACGGCAACAGTGGTAACGGCCGCTATCCTCTCTGACTTCGACTACAAGCAACATTAAGACTAGGAAGACTCCACCCACGGCCCATACCCAGAGCTATAACCACGGCCATCGAATACGAACCAAGGGTTGGCCACTGATCGCCTCATTCCGAGCGGGCAGGTCTTCAGGCTGTCTAATGGCCCAGTGCTGGCTGAGCTGCCACTTTATCGTCTTTAGCTCCGTAGTTTAGGCGCCGATAGCGACGACCTGACTCATAACAAACTAACTATTAGGACTCGCTCAGGGTTCCGACCGTAGCAGCACCTTCCGTGCCGCAATTCAACGTAAATGTCACTTTACGTGTGTGCACGTATAGCCTGCCTGTCGTATTACTGTCGTCACGTCTGGGCTAGTTATTGTGTTCTTGCACACAGATACATTTAATTGTATACGTATCTATAGCTGGGTGCGAACAGGTGAACGAGCAATAGCTCTGAGCGGTTCTGGTCGTTCAGAGGTATTCCGCCATGTCGCGAGCAGAACGTGCCAATAAAGTTCATTCGGTTCGGTGGTGACGCTGGCGTGGTCTTGTAGCTAGACTGCACCGTACCCTGTGGCGATCTACGTGACACTGAACTGTAGACACAGATTGACGGAAGATGGACACCTATCTTCTTGCTAACCTCCACGACCTACCTCCCACGCACAACATTACCATCATATTACAGGAGACATTCACAGTACACGCACTGCACGTATCTTTCTGCAAGCGAAATTTCCGCACGTAGTTAGAATCGAAGCACGACCGTTCGTCACACAACGAAGCCACAGTTACGGCTTTTGAAGCGGCACTTTTCTGCGACTGCCGCTACCGTACCAGCTCCACGACTCAGCTGGCTGCCTGCGTACTGCTGACTCGTCTTCACAAAACTGAACCGGAGCAAACGAGAAATCGAGCGGTCGGTGTCGCGCGCGCGCGTGCGTGGACAGCGATACAGCATCAGCGATCATAACTTGCTGTTCTTCTTCTTCTATTCAGCTACTATTACCACCACCACGACCACCACAACAACAACAACAATAACCACAACAACAGCTGCTACTGCTGCTGCTGCTACCGGCACTCTCCACTGGCCACTAGTGGCAATAGAAGCCACTGGACAGACTGACTCGGTCGGCAGTAGTCGACTCGCGTTGGCTGGCGTCCTGCCTGCCCGCCTGTTGTAGTAATGCTGGTAGTCGCTGTCGCCGCCGCCGCCGCCGCCGCCGTCGTCGTCGTCGTCGTCGTCGTCGTCGTCGTCGTCGTCGTCGTCGTCTTCTCGAGGAGGGCGGCAGTAGCAGCAGCAGCAGCTCCGGTGGCGATGGCCGATTGGTGCTGCCGCCGCCGCCGCTGCTGCTGGCGGCAGAGTCGTGGCAAGAAGCGCGGCTACGAGGACACGGACGGCAACAGCAGTCGGTCGACAACAGAAGCAGCAGCAGCTTCGGCTGCAGTCGCGATGACGGTGGCGCCGGCGGCTGTGGCTACCTCACGGCAGCTCGACAGCAACTTTGACCGGGGAAGCGTAACCCCGTTCGTAGCGGTGGAGGCCGACACCGGGGTCGTGGTAGTAGGGCTGTTGGGGGTAGCGCCGCCACCACAATGCGTTGCTCCTACTGGTAACAGTAGTAGTAGTAGTAATTGAAGACCGCTATTGCCATGTGGCGTCGGCGCTAGTAGCTGCTTCTGCTGCCGCCATAGTAGTCGAAGTGATCGCAGTAGTAGGGGCGCTGGCGGCGGTTTGTAACCACAGAAGAGAGGAAGAAACCCTCGGTCGTTGTTGGCGCCGGCGGCGGCCAAGCGGACGGCAGCTGAGGTGGCGGTCGCAGTAGTGATGCCTTTCGTCTCGTCGACCAGATGAGTGAGTGAGTGAGTGAGTGAGTGAGTGAGTGAGTGAGCGAGCGAGCGAGCGAGCCAGCAGCAGCTATCCACCGACAATAACTCGACCCAATCGAATAGCCAGCAGGCGCACCGCAGCCGACAGATCGGCGGCGCTGTTCAATAGCAGTTGGGTTGCGATGGAGGCGGCGGCTACGGCAGCAGCGGGAACCGAATCGCCGCCGCGACTGTTTCTCTTTCGATCCTCCTCCCAGCAGCCGCGGCGACGGTTGCTGCAAGCGGAGCAAAGCTTGGCAGTCAGTCGGACACGAATAGCTACTGACAGCACGGACGCTAGCGACCGGCGGCCATTGTCGCAACTACCGCGCGTACAGCAACAGTCGCCGTCCTTTGAGGAGACTGCGAAAGAGCGAGTAGGTAGAAGGATCCGATCGGCGGTAACGGTTGTGGTGGCGGCAGGCCGAGTGAGTGACAGACCTTTGCCTACCGAAGCTGCTGCAGTGGCAGAAGCACCCGCTTGATGATAGTCACTAACTGCATACGACTACTGCGAGTGCGTACCGCCATCGTCGTCGACTAGGTCGTAGTTCAGCGCTGATGGCTCTTCGTGGCTTGAGAGCACGATCGTCAGCTATAGCAGAGGTCAAAGCTAAACAGCCATCGAAAGTTAGAGTAGTAGAGCGGTGCTGGTGCGGCAAGAAGCTAGCGTTAACTATTACAGTAATCCTTGCAACAAGGGCGGCATTAGGCCATCGCAGTGATGACAGCAGCAGCAGCAGCAGCAGCAACGCTGTTGCTATTGTTCCTTTTGCTGTCGTCTTTTGTTCCCTCACTTTTCTGACAGCTTCTCTTACCGCCGTTGTTGCTGTCATGTTCCCGTATCTCGCACGGTGTTCGGCATAGTCGTCGTTGTCATTGTTGCCATTGCGGCAGTCGTAGCAGAGATCGGTGTGGTACTCCTGCTGCTGTTGGCTACAGTCATACGCCCGCCCTGTGCCGAGACTGCGCCGTTCATTGGCTCCTTCGTTGGTTTTTGCTCCGCCCCCCTCCGGGCAGCAAAGCAGCGACTGTCGAGCGCGATTCGGCAGGCCTGCTCCTGCAGGCCTTCGATTGTTCTGACCTGCGGCAATAGCAGCAGCGACAGCGGCGGCGGCGGCGGGCCTATGTAAAATTCGGCGAGCTCATTGCGCAATTCCTTCACGAAAATCCCTTTGCGTGGTCGTGCAGAAACATGAATATCTTCTATATATATGTATGTGCTGAGTATGAGTGGGTGCAGTAAGTCCTCCGGACAGATCCGGTAGGGGGAACGGAAGGTCAAGCAGCAGCTACCACAGCAACAGGGAACAGCTAGACATTGTCAGTGATGCTGCTGATAGAGGGCGGTCACCTCAAGGCGATATAACTTGTATAAAAGCAGAGTTGAGCAGGCCGAATGAAGCTTTCGTGTCGGGCTATATGCATAGGGCAAAACAACTAAACGCGCGGTGGACGAGCGATGACAAACGGACTGATGACGATCGAAGATTAACGACAATAACTCATTTTTCAAATACAAGCACACTAAATAAAGGGGCACCTGTGCTTCTTTGTTCACATGACTCAAACGTGGTAAAAGTCCGGCCAAATGGTAAACACCAGCCGTTCATCCCATAACGGTTATTTAGAATATATATATATATATATCCAATGTATCATACCACTGGCGTTCTTAATCTCGCAGCGTAGTCACTTTGGCTACCTCATCGCAAGGAGTACAAGGGTAACATAATACCAACCCTAGTTGAACGGTGGCAGGCAACCTATCCTGAGAAATGATCGAACTGACTCTGAGCACGGCGCGTTTTGACCAAAAAAAGGCGAAACTTTTTACGTAACTTGATTTCTAATTTTTTTTTCGTTACTCTATCAAGGCACTGCTTCGACCACTGACCCCCTTAGCTATTCAAGAGATACGCTTCAAAAAAGGGATTATTTGTTAAATCCAAAAGTGTCTATAAACACGATCGGGAAAACGCGATAGGGTGCCACATATGAGCCTACTATGTAGGTAAACTGTTCCGGTTAGGTTAGGTTTTTTTTTTCTTTGTAAACCTGCTCGATTCGTACGCCGACGACAGAAAGAGGATGCTAAATAAAGGCATATTGCTTTTTGAGCCAAGTTTTGTAATTTGGTCGGAATCATAGATGGGACAAAAAGGTAGAAGTCAGTCGCACAATTTTTGTCTAACGTCATGAAAGTTACTCGCATCCGGACTCAGCACCGTACTAAGCTTCACTAGTGTACATTTATACTTCGACGGCGGAATTAGGTCGACAATTCGCTTCGGGTAAGGTAACAAGCGACCTGTTTATGCATAACCATGCCCTCATTAAGAGCGCATTAGGACAAAGAGCTTTTGCATAGCCTTGATAGTTGCACTTTGGACTAAAATTAGAACGTTTTAAACCTTACGCCGTACTGCCATTTGACATTACTTACTAGTAGGCAACTAGGTTTCCAATGCATTACCCTAAACAAAAAGTGTGCAAATGGCCTTCAATATCCATATTAAGTTAGTTAATTAGTTGTTAAAATGTAGGACATGACTATGAAGGATTCCGCGCCTGAAATTAAATTTCTGCTTGGCTAGGGTGCGCTTATTAGGATTCTATGGCCGAAAGGGTCGATGAAGACTCATTAGTAATTCGCCGCAGCAGCGTTTTGGAACTATGGTAAAAAGTTGAACGTAAATAGTTTGCTCATCAGTTATTGTTGTTTTTATTAAACACGTATGGCCTGATTTCAAGGTTTCAAGCATTGGGGTATACAGCATACGTTACAGTATCATGTAATTTGAAATACACAAACTGAATAATGGACAAATTGAGTACGATATTGGGCTCATATGTGGATTTAAGACAGGCCAACGAGACAAGATTCCAGCTTTCGATTGAATAAAGGCGTTGCAGCTATTCCTTGTTGTTCACAGTAGGTCGATCATTTCTTTGACACTTTTTCCAGTGTGCTTGTAGCAGATTTCGTCAGCAGCTAAGGCGAGACTATTAATTGTAAATTATTGTAACTATTAATTGTATAACACACATAAGTAACCCGGAGGACCTGCCAACAACATGCTTTCTATTTGTATAGTTAGCCGAAAGAAATGGCCCGTCAAGCATGCGCGATTAGAAAGAGAAAATAAAGATCTATTAAATAAGATTTCCTTTTTGGTATTTCGTCCCTCAATAGTGGTAGAAAATCATAGTAATAGAGAAAAACTACACGCGGTCAGATAGCAGCTTAGCTAGTTAGGATTAAATGGCCACCTATTCGGCTAGATAGCTAGCAAACAAAGACTTTGACACGATCTGTTAATCGATATAGCCCTTTATAAAAATAGATAGCAACTTAAATCGGGATATTGTCAAATTCAGCAAATCCCCCTTCGACACCGTAGTTTCTCTACTCACCAATACAAACACACATATTTCAGTTCCTATGACGATTCACACCCTCTATACAACGATAGATATATATATGTATGTATGTATGTATGTATGTATGAATGACATATTCATATTCTGGCATATAGTTTTTTTTAGGCGGACAGTGACAGCCCCATCACGTTAAAATGATGAAGATTTTTGCTCGTTCTCGTCCCTTGTTTTCATGGGAATGAAATATTCATCTTGTTGGTATCGTATTGTGTTGTAGACGCGCAGAGTTAGACGGCGGTGTTGCTGTTTCCCGCATATAGCTCGTCTGTCGTCTCTCGAATACGCGGCACGCTGAAGCGGAAACGAATTGAGCGTCTCTCAATCGAGAGATGGCAGACGCTTAGGGGAACGGGCTGTTCTATACCGTCGTTGGCAACGACTATTTGACGTATCTTCAACTATGATTGTTTGCATACATCTGCAATCACTGTCGTATGTCTTCTTGAAGCGATTATCATCATTATCTAAGCCTGCTGATAGTTCTTTATACCGACGGCATCTGTCGGGGTCCGCTGATTAGCACCGCGAATTCCTCTCCGTCGTTAATATTCTAGCGCGATTGGTGCTACGATACGTATTATAGTTATTACTATTTCACGTTTGATGCGGTTCAACAATCACAGTGAATCTCTAAGGGACCAT